AGAGCAATTATACAGAACCACAACCAGGAGATAGTGTTGACATCCACTTCATTGTGTCACAGTGCCTTAATACTGCTTTAAATACAGTCTGATTCAGATTTTATTTATACTATCTAATGACTCTCTCATTCTAGTATGACTTTGAATTCCTGATACATTTTCATACCATTTTGAAATTACCTTTTCAGAAGCTGAATAAATAGGTGCAACCACCTCTACCAGACTGGAGGGGGAATAATCACAACTAGCTCCACATTCCCACTACTCAGCTGTGCATTTCTTAAATTCATGGGGTGCTATATTTGATGAGAAGATGGAAGCAGTGACTGGTGATATATGTTCTACCACTTTATTAAAGTTCTCAATAGAAAACAATATATTTGGGCTTTTAGGGAGCAGGAAGCAGCCAAAAATAAATAGGCAGGGATACGCGAGAAGGGCCTCCCTCCTTTGCCTCCCCTGCCCCCTAGCAGCTGGCTAAACCAGTCCAGTTATAATCTCCAGTAAGTCAGCGTAGCTCAGGCCTATGCTAATACGTGACCAAATAACCTAACCACAGGGCTGAGCTGTATTCCAGGGTAAATTTCTCTGCTGTGGGAAATGCTACCTTTCAATTAAGAGGCTGCAGTGTTCATTGGAGCAAGGACTAGAGTCTGCACATGAATCAACCTTTTGTTTCTCCCCTCTCCTTTCTTTTTGTTCCAGTGACTATTTCATTACTTTCTGGTAGGGAAATTAATTAAATACCTTCAACTGAAGAAATTTAGAGCAAGAGAGATATGTCCCTGACTGTCTGGTAACATTGCAATTAGGGCACTCTGCTGAGATGGAAAATACTTTCATCAAAATGCAATCAGATATGGAAGAGACATTTACTGAGTCCCAGCTGAGCACCCTGTCAGTTCTGCAGCTGTGCTCCATGGCAGGAGTGGACACTTCTCCGTGGTTTTTTTTGCAAGGGATTCAGATTGCTTTGAGCTCATCTGCAAGATCCTACCCTGGAGGTCTAATCTCTGAATCTCGCTGTCATTGAGATGCATCATAGACAAAGGCTAGCTTTACTGTAGGCATTGCTGTTCATCCTGAGCAGCAGAAATGCCAGCATTTCAGAGCTTTGCTGGGTGTTTCGATGCTATAAGTTCCAGTGACTTTATCGGGTGTGTGCCAGTGCACCTTTCTGAGCTAGAGGAGGAGCTGCAATAACGTTCTCTTCCACCGTACACTGTAATGTGCTGGGCATCATCCTCCTCCCCACACAGAGGAGCAACTAAATGTGGTCTCTGAGTTTCCAAGGTTTGCTACATAACATACTGCTGTTGACTGCCATTTCCTATTTTATGCAGCAAGTTACATGGCTGAAAGACAAGACAATGTGGCCAGGTTCAGTGGGTAATCTTACACTTTGCTTTACCATTAGATTTGCCATTACCTATCTATTTTGGGGAAAAGGATTCATTCTGTGCCACAATAGCACACCAGGCAGGAATATATATGTGTGATCTGTAATTCAGATAAAACTCTTCTGCCAGAGAATTCAAAACAGTTTCTGTTCAGTCTGTATCAAACAGATTTATCAAGTATTTTATTATTTTTTTAAAGGGAAGGAAAGAAAAATTAGGTCAGAAACTATGACACGTAGTCAGAACAATCAGGAGATTCACTGCAAAATGCATCTGTGAAAAGCATAAGCAAATCATGGCCTGGGGAGTAGAAATAAGACATCTGTTTAATGTACTGGTGACCTGACAGTTTGTAGATCTTCCATTTTCCTTGATGTTTAGCAGTTTATATTTTAAAAAATCTGAAAAAAATACATGAAAACTTTCTGGAAAGGACTAACTCATAAGATTGCTTTTTCAGTTTCTCTCTTAAGTATTCTTTCCACGTCAGTGTGTTTTCATGCTTGTCAGTATGTGACTATCTGAAGGGCTCCTGCAATGCTGAAAGTGACAAACATACATCTCCATAACCAAATCTCACTGCTGGTCAGAATATAGCATTCTTTTTCCTTTCTATCATTTTTGTACTCTATGCCTTAGCAAGACTTTGAAAACCACACCTTAGCTCCCTGTTGTTGCAGTCCAAAATTTGGATACCAACAGAAAAAGAACTAGTAGGATTAAACAGGAAACCTTGGGCCACAGGGGCTGGGGAAAAACCCACCATCTAAAAGACCAGACAAGATCCATTGACCTGCCTCCCCCACCAGGATGTGGAGAGACTTTGCACGATGCTATCAGATATACCATTGTTTTTTCCCCTTCCTGTGTAATCCTTATTTCGGGAAAAGCTGACCACCCTTCCCCAGTATAATCTTGCTTACTGGAAATATCAAATCCTTTTTCCCAAAAATGTAAATACTGGATCCAAGAAATGTAAATCCCTTTTTTCCCTTATGCCACCCCTGCTACTGGAAATGCTAACAGATTGTGGAATCCCCTATTTGGCATAACCCTGCCTCTTTATTAGCATGTTAAGCCCCGAGACCCTTAAATAGCAGTTCGCGTATTCAGTAAGGTATTCCAGTTTTTACCCCTGAACTGGGATGGTTTTAGCGTTATTGGACCCTTACACTCTGTACCAAGGGGCTCTCAAGGAGTTTCCCATGAACTTACATCATTCAAATGAAATGGTAGTGGGCCAATAGTTAACCATTTAGATTATACACAAACAAATTATAATTTTCTATAAATATTTTTCCAGATATTGTTCTATAGATGTTGTCAACCAGAGTTTGACAACATCTGGCCACATAATGGAGACCTGCAGCAACATAAGAAGTAAATAAGAAGCAAGTTGGTCAGCTGTGATGGTTTTCTAATCTGTCCTTTATACCTGAAAAGAGGGCATCTTTCTTGGAGGCTGTAAAGCCCCCTACAAAAGGAAATCTGTTAATTGTTGTCAGGAACCATTGATATCTGCTGCAAGTTTTTATTTTTCTACTTTAGTCCTCTTTTCTTTAACTACTTTTTGTGGTTTTGTTTGTAATTCTTTTATATAATATTCCTTTTTTTCTTTATGAGAATTGTTACAAAATTTCACATAAACTTACAAAAAGTAGAACAGAACATTCCATTATAGAACTTTTTATATTGTTTTATTTTATTTAATCTGTTTTAATTAATTTAATCAATTAAATTCATTATTGACCTGTAGATGATTTTTTTTTACTTTACAGAGAAAACAACAGCTCCAAGCTTTTCCAAGCCTAAATTACCCACTGAATCCAGTCCGGGATAGGTGAGCAATTAGACAGTGATGAAGAACATTAAATACTATTTGAAGATCAAGAAAAGCAAGGTATAGTCAAAGGCAAAAACATTGCTTCCAACATTTTTCAAATGTTGGTATCTCCCAAACAAGATCACAATGAAAAAAGAGGACAAAGAGGATAATCCGTTATATAATTCCTAAATGTCCTATGTAGGTATTGCACATTTGCATTTGAACTATGTTAAATATCTTTAAATGCATGCAGTTGCCATCACCTTATAGGTTTGAAAGTTCAATGTATTAGAACTCTTTGAAAGAGGTAAACCCCAGATTTTGCTAGTGGGAAAAACAACATGTGAAGGCTCATGCTGCTGCATACAATAATGAGAATTTAGACACGGTGATATTTAAAACAAAAAATAATTTTTGAAATATTTGTTTTACTTCTATGAGATTCTAATATTCATAGCCTTTTTTGTTTCCTCCTTCATAGGGACGGTATGCCTAGACATCAACATGCCAAGAATTAACACATACTAGGATTGATAATTTGACCAGTTAATATTAGTGCAGTGGGAAGAGCATTAATATAGTAGTTAATAGCCTTTAAGGAAAAGTACTAGACCATTAATCTCTTAAATAATTCACTCTAATCTACTCTACACTTATCAATAGTTAGGACTAATTGTCCCATGTTAACAGTTCTTACTGAAAACCATATCTTTGAATGAGTGAGGAAAATTTTCCTAAGAGTTCAATTCTTCATTATTTTTTTCCAAGATTTTCAATAATATTTTCTTTTCCTATGTTTTAGAGGTGTTTCAAAATCATTGTGAACACATTTAAATACAAAGTACTCACAAGACATTATTTCATAGAACAGAGCCACCCTTAATGCATGAAGTGTCAGTTTGATAAATAATCTGAAGTGAGTGATTCAGATCTTTTTCAAATTGCTATCTTAATCGTTGGTCAGACCAAAGCATTATAGTATTCTAGTAAATCTTCTGGTAGTCTTTTATAATATGTGTCCGATTCAGAGCAAATCTTGTTTTCTTTGATTTCCGTTTTTAGGAAGACCAACTGATGCTTAAGACAACCAAGGATTAAGAAAATGCAAGTTAAAAAAGAGAAAAAATACTCCTGTGAAAGATGAATTCCAATACCATCTGCTCTTCAAGCACTTTTAGACTAGAGAAGTTAAGTAGTGCTGGCAGTCTGCCCTGAAAGTGATCACATGAAAGCTATGAATAAAGCAGGTTGCTGACATGATTGGGTAGCAGGCCCAAAAGAAAGAGTTAATGGAACTTTCTGCTGTGTTGCACTTGTACAATTGAACCACAGACCTGCTCTATATTTCTAAATAGAAGTAAAAATTTGTATACATGCATTATAAAAGAAAAATATTTCTAGTACAGTATTATTACTCTGTGTTTCTCTTGTTCAGCGGAACTTGTGACCACACTAAGAACTGGTTTATGATTCGCTTCCTTTAGGTTCCCTGCTTCAAGTTGCTAATTACTTTCAGAAAATGCATTTAGGAAAATTAAGGTGCTTCCTGTTAGGAAGCACCAGGCACAATTCTACAACATGAATTAAACATTAATAGTATAATCTTTTTTAATACCTGTTCATACTGAGAAAAAAAATCAAATAAAAACACATGCTTTCAGTCAGAAAAATTATTTCTTGTCCATGGCTCTGAAGTACTTTATTAGAAAATCCCTCTGATATACGACACATGGGACAAGAAGCAGCCCTGTTCCACAATCTGGTTTAGCTTGAAAACAATTATTGTCTGGGCGGGGAGACGTAGCAGGACTACATGTAGGCTTCCTGTCCAGAACCATACAAAGGGGTGTCAGATAATTTCTGCCATCCTTCCACTCAGTGTTCTTTTATATCTCACATCCCTTAACAGAGTTCTGTAGAACAACTGAGGATATTCTTGCTAACTATTCAAAGGGAAACAAGTTCCCGTATGTGTAAGTCCTAACTCTCAGAGCTAGTCCACATTAGAGTATAAAGTTCTAGGTGTTAATTACAAATCACATGCAATGAAATCAAGTCGGTAGTCAGACCATTAAATCCCCTGGAATATTAATATGTTAGTACAGGATATTTGTGATTCTTTTGCTGCAATTGTTTTGGCTCTCTTTTTTCCATGTCATTAAACAATAATATTTGAAAAAATTTTTTTCGTATCTGAAAAATATCCCATTTTATGATTTCTCTTACCATTTCTGCACACACAGACCTGAACTCCCAGGGGACTCCATGAAAGCTTTTTTCCATTAACTCAGAAACACAGTGGCAAAATGTAATTTTTTTGTTATGTTTAAAATGGTACTGATATACTAAAAGAAAAATGACAAGGTAATTACTGTGTGGGAGACAGCCTTCTGTAGCTATGTGGATTTTTTTTCAATTCTTCGATGTCAAAGACTGTGTGTCATTGCTAGATCTACTGATGTGCATTTGAATACTTCAGGAGGAATACTGTATGTTAGCTCAGTTTCAAAGACTTTGCTGAATAGGTACTTTCCCTGCCCACATCCCCACCCCCCGCTCCAAGATTACTGGGAACAGTATTAAATTGTATAATATATAGATGATCTTTTGTTTTATTTATAGAAACCTCATCCTCATCCACCTAAAGAAGAAAGAAAAACAACCAGTTCCGTTATTTCAGATGAAAACTTTGTGCTAGGATACCAGAAAACAGATAAAATACAGTGCATTTATAACAAAGGGGAAACGCAAAACAAACAAGCAAACAAAAAATAAAGAAGCAAAATACTAAGTAGGGCATATAGGAGACAAATGGAGATGAAACTGGTTTGGTTGATTCCTAATGTGGTATCCTGAAAACTGAAAGAAATATGATAATGAAGGGAGACCCATGGTAACCTCAGAGGTAATTTCTTGAAAAGAGGCAAATATCTGAAAAAAGAAATGGATTAAAAATGTGTCAAGAACCAGTTGATTGCTTAAAAAAAGATGTGTCAATCACTGCCTGTCAGAAAAGAGCAGGGTTTAAGAATATAGTTCCTTAACGAAAAATGCCAAAAGAAAACCAACAGACTACACAACAGGCTACTTCCAAATTAAAGTATGTGTTTGTGAGATCGTAAAATTAGAAAATAGAGATGGAAGGCACCTTAAGATTCTGTCTAAGCTATTTCTCCATCAAAAGATATGATCCACTACATCAAAACTGTTCCTGAGAGATAGTTTTTTAATCTCCTCTTAAAAATGCCTGAGAATCCTAAAGTCTAAGAAAAGCATTCTTGGAAAATAGATGAAAATTCTGTGCCATATACAATACAGTCTGCTTAACAATATCCCAGTAATTTACAAAAGCTGTTACCAGAGGTAAGGCTCAAATTTGAGAAGGACTAAGGGAAACATACCAATGTGCTTTTAACAATAACTTTTCCTAGTCTGATTTATTATTTATTTTCCTTTAAGCTTTTTATGTTAAATACAATTACATTGTAAGTACATGTGTTTTTTTCTTAGAAGCAGTACATCACAAATAATGCTTCTAATAGAGATATTTTACTATTTATTTTTTAAAATATATTGACATACCTGAATTCCACTCAAAGATGATTATCCTCTCTACAAGATCACTTGAACTCCTTTAGTTTATTGGGGATGATATTGACTTGCCACTGTTATCAGATTGAAGCAGGAAGAAAAAGGAAGAGTTACTACTTGTTTTCAGTGGAAACTATGTATTTTCCCAATCAATCAACATTTCAGCTCATTTCCCGTAGAAATTAGTTTTAAGTCTCAAACAAACCAACCCAAATGAAGAATTTTTCAAGTCAAAATCTCTCAGATATCTAGCTCAAACAGCTTAACTCTGTTGTTTATTTCTGATTTCAGTCTTATGCCTCAATAATCTAACAAAAGAAAGGACAAAACATATGTCTTGGAGATGCACTTGTTTGTGATTTGCTGATACCATCCTGGTTTATTGATATAGAAACATAATAAGTGAATATACTCTTGTTAAATGAATACTGGGGCATTTGGTCTCCTGCCTTTAAATAAGTAGGCACCAAACAGCCAATTCCTCACTCCCATGTTCAAATCATGAATTTGTGGAGAAACTTAGAACTTTCTTGAATTCAACCAATGACATATTTGGGTTTTATATGAGGAAAGAATTTCACATTATATGAGGAAAGAAAACTAGATTATAGTTTTTGAAAGTGAAAGATCAAGTAATAAAATAATGGAGACTAGAATAAAGTGAAATAGAAAGCAATTTATGAGAAAAGGACAGAGATATAATAAATAATATCAGTTGGGTGACAAACTAGAAGGCTAATGAAAAAAAAACAACAGAAACTAAAAGCAGCAGGAGATATAAGAACTGGAAATTCACGAGATGGTTAGGCATAACAGATGAAAAAATGAGTGTACCTGGGGGAAAGATGACAAAAACTCCACAGTAATCTGCTGCATACATCTCAAAATCTTTGGTACAGAAAGGTGTTATGTTAATTATGTGATCTATATTTATTAAGGTAATTGAAATAGCAGAACCTAAAGGAAGAACTGCCCTGGTGATGTGCAGGTTGCTTGTTGATACCTTGCAGTTGTTTCTCCCAACGTGTGGTGCTGGGGAATAGGTTCTGCAGAGTGTTCTTAACATGGAAGGTCAGCAGAAAACCCTGCACTCCAACTTTTTTTTTCCAATTTGAAAATATTAATGTTACAAAATGCCCCCCTCATCATTTCAGTACTGAGCTGATTAATAAAGTTTCACCTTCCTGCCAAAGCCATCAAAGCTACAGATCAGCTCTGGAGATAATAGGCTGCATGGAAGGAGAAGGAATCAGTCTCTGTGACATTTGAAGCTTTTTTCCTGTGTTCTCCAGTGGAATACTAACATTAGTCAGGGTGAGAGCACAGAAGGCCCTAAGGACAGCATGGAGATGATGGAAAGATAGATCCTCCTCATAGATCCTCTTCCCAGGATACAGAGAAGCCATCTGGACAGTTGCTTTGCTAGTCTTTATTCAGGGAGGGTATATGCACCTCAAGCTCTGAATAACTATGAGGGTTTGCTGATTACAGAACATTTTCTGAGAATAAACACTGTATGTAGAATAATATAGCAATTAATACAAACACAACTGGGAGTATGGACTCGGGCATGGGAAGTCATGGTTTTCAAATGGCTTGCTGATTTTGTAATAGCTGACTTGAAAGTCCAGCTGTGTGATATGCAGCTATTGAGCATTATAGTTATTTGAAAGTTATTTGAATACACTGAGCATAAAAAGAACATGCAAATGAGCTATTTTTTCGTTGTTACATTTTGATGTCTCATATACTGGCAGCCTTCACAAGGATTAATAGGACGTGTTTCGGAATAGTAAATACTGTTTGCTAGTGGATCAGAGAAGAAGACCCCCATGAATAAAAAGATCATGCTTTGCACAGAAGGATGTGTAAGAACTGTTATAGATCCTTTGCATTGTGAAAGATAAAACGATTCAATTTTACTTGGGAAATCGAACTCAGTAGAAAGAATAATCTCCAGTTTAAATATTATTTACTCCCAACTTTCTTAAACACTGCATTACTGTAGGAACCACAAAGAAACTTGACTAAATTGCCTTATCTTTTAGATAACTATAGGAAGCAAAATCCAGTGATGACTGAAATGGTCAAGTATAACTATATATATACAGGGAAAAAGGAATGTTTTGAGTGTTTTTTTTAAAGTAGCTTTTGTTCATTTGTTTTGATTAGAAATGGTAATTCAAGCAACCTTAGACAGCACTCTGAACATAGTAGCATAGTTACTAACTCCTGTAGATCCCGCATTTCAGTCAGAAAGAGGATAGTCACCTGTGAGGAGTTACAGCAAAGAAAGCTATATCTTCTTTCCTCACCCATCTTTCCTCATTCTCCTATGTAGACTGGTTTCAATGATTTGCCTCTGTTCACACCATTGCAGTGAGGGGTGAATTCAGTGTACACTTTAAATAAGAGAAGACATTGCATGTTCCCTAGTAAACTGCTGCCTTTAAAGTTCTGTTTTCCCTAATGGAGAACGATCAGTAGTGAGAGCTGAGAACAACTTCCTTTTAGCATTAGCTAAAGTAATGAAAAATTGTCATTCTTTACTCAATGGCATGATGTTTCTGTAAATTTCAAAGAAAATTAGAATGACAGCATAGTAAGTAATTGCTGAGCTTATGACTGCTTTGAAATATCATTGACAAGTGGTTTATTTCTACAAAGAGCTGTTAAAGTGTTACTCTAATGTATTTTTGAATATTTGAAAAAGGCAGGAGTAGTTATTTGCCATTATTTCAAATGTATTGTTCAGTACATATAATTTTCATCTTATATCTATGGAAATAGAGTAGAATCTTATATAAACTGCCTTCTGTTATGTTTTTGTTTGCTGAAAAGAATATGTTGACAGGTTTTGAAGCTAAATTGGGAAATCAAACCAGTATTTTCCTTCATATATTACCCTTATATTTATTTTCACTATTAATAATGTGCATGTCATACATATATTCTATTTTCTTTTGGAATTATACTTTAAAATTGAGATACTATAATTTAGAAGAATGTAGAAAATAAATTGGCAGGAGTTTCACTGAAACAGATAAGGTTGGTAATAATAATCAGATTTTTTTATAGTATACTGGTAATGCAGAAGTATCAGTTCTTTTTGTAGAATTCTAAGTTTTCCACAGCTTTGTTTTGAACTGTTGTGAACTTTCATTCTGAACTTTGAAACTTCAGGCCAGACTTCACTCCACACTTTCCAGCAACATAGATAACATTGAAGATTGCCATAGAATGGGTTTGGCTGTAGTGGATTTCTTTTTCTTCATGGCGGCTTGTATGCTACTGTGTTTTGAATTTGTGACTTAAGCAGTATTGATAAAAATACAATTTTTAGGCTACTGGTGAGCAACACTTGCACAGCATCAAGGCCTTTTCTTTTTCTCACTCCACCTCCCTCTATGGTAGTAGGCTGGGAGAGGGAAGGAAGCTGGGAGTGGACATGGTCAGGAGAGCTGACCCAGGCTGGCCAAAGGGATGTATCATACAACATTGTGCTCATAAACAAAAAAGAGAAGGAAGGGGAATAATTTGTGGTTATGGCTTTCACCTTCCCAAGTAAAGCACAGAATCACAGAATTACAGAATATGCCTAGTTGGAAAGGACCCACAAGGATCATCAAGTCCAACTCCTGACCCTGCACAGAACCATCCCCAAACATCTCACCATATGCCCAAGAGTATCATCCAAACACTTCTTGAACTCTGTCAGGCTTGGTGCTGTGACCACTTCCCCGGGGAGCCTCTTCCAGTGCCCAACCACCCTCTGGGTGATGAACCTTTTTCTAATATCCAACCTAAACCTCCCCTGACACAACTTCAGGCCATTCCCTCGGGTGATGGCACTGGTAACCACAGAGAAGTGATCAGTGTCTGCCCTATCTCTTCCCCTCACAAAGAAGTAGTAGACTACAGTCTTCTCTTCTCCAAGCTGAACAGACCAAGTGACCTCAGCTGCTCCTCTTGCAGCTTCCTGTTACAAGTACCCTTCTTTTCCTGTTAACAGAGAAGATCTTGTTGTTGGGTACAGGTGGTATAGTTTTAGGAGACGCCACTACTCCCAGAAAGACCTTCTCCTACCTCATCAATTGTCTGACCTTCTAGTTCCAGAAGTTAGTGATTGTCCAGCCTTCTACTTGTTGTAGAAGGTGCTGTCCTACCTGTCAAATTTTGAGAAGGAGGAGGAACCTTCCTCCTGGTACATATGGTGACCACCTTCTAGCCTTCATCTTTAACAAACCCTTGAGTAACAGTCCTTTGACTAATTACCCTGCAGGGTTCTGAGTCCACCTGCTTTTCCACTACAATGGAAGTTCAAGACTCCTGAGAGTCTTCAGACTGTAGCATCTCTGAAAATAATCGATCTCCCTCTTGCTCATTTCACCCAAATACTACAAAGGCTGTTCACTTCTTCCCATAGCTCCTTCACCTGATGACACAGCTCTTCATCCATGGCACACCTTCTGCAAAAAAACTGCTTGTCTGCCCCAGCTGCACAGAGAGGCATCAGGCACTCCTGGCAACCTGTGACCTGGAGAGCTGCATCTGCCATCAGCAGGTCTGGCTGGCTAGAGGCCTCTCACACAGATGGTATAGTTATTCCAGCAGCTACAGAGGATAGAGCTTTACAACGTGTCAGCACCATAACAGAGGAAGCTGAAATTAGTATGTTAACAAGACTGGGGCTGACAGGACTGAGGTTTTTCAGGAATTAGCTGGACATCCACCCACCAAAGACAAATAATGAATAAATTCCTTAATTTGCTCTGTTTGTGCAAATAGTTTTATTTCACTTATTAAACTATCCTTATCTTGAACCATGAGTTTTTCTCATTTTGACCCTTTGAAATCATTCTCCTAGTCAGCTGGGGGGGCTGAGTACGTGGGTGGAGTCTTATCTCCCAACCAGTGTCAATCGCACATATGATTATAATGGGGTAAGTGGAGAAACCAGACCGTCCAAGTGGTCAATAAGATTTTCAGAGAAGTTCTTTGAGACCAGCTAGGGACACTGGAAGAAGTAAATAAGGCTTTATTTGGGCTGTAGATAGGAAAAAGGAAGTATAAAGGGTTTTTTCCTGTGTGTTTTTGAAGTTAGTGATTGGTATTAGGTAAGGACGGGAGAGACTGAGAGAAACCAGGTTTGGGCCTGGAACCTTAGGGAAGCCAGGGTTTGAAGATGAAACACTGGAAGAGAACACAGTTTTGCTCTGCCTCTTTTTAGAAGGTTTCTCACGAGTCCCTCAGGATCATCAGCAGCAGAGAATTCTGAAAGGAAGAGGCAACAGGTGATTGTCTGGGGTACAGACGCTGCTGAAAGAACAAGTTCCTTCTCTAGAAGAGGCAAACAAGCACTGTCAACAGAGGTAGTTATTTACTTGGTATATGGCTAATACTAACCTTGCTCTAGATAAATTTAGGTTATCACATTTGTGAAGATGTTTTTTTTTAATTCCTCTCCCTCAATACTGAAAAACATATACCAGAAGAAAGGGTATGTGAATGTACTGGTGTGTCCAGGTAGATTTTGTTTGTGTGAGTTTATTTTTTTCTTTTTGGTTTGGTTTTTTGGGGGTTTTGATTTGACTTGGTTTTTTTGGGTTTTTTATTACCACTATCCTGCTTTTCAGAGATACATATTGAAAACAGAGAGAAGGAAGTATAACGATGAAAAAAACCCCAAACAACACTACTCAAAACTCAAACAAAGGAAATGCTCTAAACCATGAAAAATTCAAGTGTACCATTTCTCTGAGTTAGGCAAATTGAGAGTTGAATAAGTCTTGGATAACACACAGATAAACAAAAGTTCTGACTATGGTGTTACACCATAGTCATTCTCATTCTTAAAATGGAGGAATGTCCTGAAAGCTTTTGTTTCATCCATACAAGTTTTGATAGTACTATCTTTTTTTCAAAAAAAGTTACCTTATTAATTTATTTAACTTTTAATTTTGGCTTTTTTATTTTTTTTTTTTTTTTAGCAGCAG